AAAAAAAACCCTATTCACACACACACACACACACACACAATGAAGGACCCGAAATCGCAAAAACTCCAGCCATGGAAGCCCTTAACCGCAAGCTACTGCTGCTCGGCTGACGATCACAAGCGCACCATATTCCGTAACCTGAGCGGCTGCCGGAGTTCCAAGTCGGAAGTCTTGAGCGCTCCTCGGCTGCCATCTTTCCGGAAGCTGACGTTCTCTGATGTCAGCGTTGGGTCGAACTCGGCCAGGATCAATGAGGACTTGGCGCAGTCGTTTGGCGGCGATTTGTACGATTTCCAGATGTGCGAGCTGCGGGCCGCGACTCAGGGATTTTCGAGCAGCTTCTTGCTCGGGGAGGGAGGGTTCGGGAGGGTGCACAAGGGCTATGTGGACGAGAGCTTCAGGCCGGGCCTCAAGGCCCAGCCCGTGGCAGTTAAGCTGCTCGATATTGAGGGGCTACAAGGGCACCGTGAATGGCTGGTAAATTTTTGATTAGTTATTTACTGTTTCATTAGTATCAGAAAATCTTGAGATGAAAGAAAATGTGCTTTTTTGTGAAGGCTGAGGTGATATTTTTGGGGCAGCTAAGGCACCCCAACTTGGTCAAGTTAATTGGCTATTGCTGTGAAGACCAAGAGAGGGTTCTTGTGTACGAGTTCATGCCAAGAGGCAGCTTGGAAAATCATTTGTTCAAAAGTGACTACTCATATATTTATTTACAGTCTTCTTCTTCTTTCTTTCTTTTTATTTTTTTTTTCTTTTCAAAAAAGGCAACGATCTTAATCTGATTCGACGCATTTAACCACCACACATAGGGCTGTCGATTTCTCTAGCATGGGCTACGAGACTGAAGATCGCTATAGGCGCAGCAAAAGGTTTGGCGTTCTTGCACGGTGCAGAGAGCCCGGTCATATATCGTGATTTCAAGACTTCAAATGTTCTGTTAGATTCGGTATTTATTTATTTTCCATAGTATAAATGCCAGTTTATTTTCTATTTCCAACATAATCACTAAATAAAAGAACTACTTTTGCTAGGATTTCAATGCCAAGCTATCAGATTTCGGGCTGGCTAAAATGGGGCCCGAAGGATCAAACACTCACGTTACCACTCGTGTAATGGGAACATACGGTTATGCTGCACCTGAATATGTCAGCACGGGTAAAAAAATAAACTTTTCTAAAAGAAAAAAAAAAAAATCTTCAAATTAACATCACAGTTGTATGATTTTATAATTCAACGAATCTTGATGATGCAGGTCACCTAACTACAAAGAGTGACATCTACAGTTTTGGAGTGGTTCTCTTAGAGCTCTTGACAGGAAGAAGAGCAGTGGACAAGACGAGGCCCAAAAGTGAGCAAAACTTAGTGGATTGGACAAAGCCCTACCTGACAAGCACCCGAAGGTTACGCTGCATAATGGACCCCAGGCTTGCGGGCCAGTACTCTGTGAAGGGGTCCAAGGAAATGGGCCTTCTGGCCATGCAATGTGTGAGCTTGAACCCTAAAGACAGGCCTAAAATGCCAGCTATCATCGAAACACTTGAAAGCCTGCAGCATCTAAGGGATATGGCTATTACTTATGGACAGTGGCCCGCTTCTACTAAAACGGGCCGAACTGTGGTCTATGTTCCTAAGGAGAGGAGGCAGACTGGGTTTGGGTGTAAAAGTGCTGCAGTTGCAGCCAGCCCAAGAAGCAAATAGTTATATTATATAGTTTCTTGTAAATGGAGTGACTTGAACTTGTATCAACATCAAAACAAGGCAGATATAAATTGCCAATGTAAATGAATATTTGGAGTTGAACTATACAATATATAAAATACTTATCTACGTGTACAGTCAATTGAAACTTTTGATTTAGCCAATTGTTTGACCAAATTAATCAGAAAAGAAAACCGAAGAAATTTTCACATTGATTGATCGCATACATGTTATTCAATTTGGTTTATCACACTCAAATTATTCAGTCCAGCTCCAAGTAAGCAAGAAAATATACTGCAAAATGTAAAAAATATCAAAGAAAAAGAAAACTTCCGATTAAATGGAGACCAAAGTTCTCTCAAAGTTGTGTCCTATTAGAAGATATTATCCATAGATTAACAGTAATGCTAAAGCGGGTTGTCTCATTACTTCTACAACATCAAATATAAACTCATTCCATGTTTTTTCTGTCAAAGAAACTAACCCATATGAGATAAGCTCTTCAATTGCCCTCGTATTTAGGATCCGCCATGACATAATGATAAGCAATGACGAGAACAAATATGAATATGCCGAGAAAGTTGGCAAAGAAGCCCAAGTCCTGATCATCAATCATCTGTTACAGCAGAACAAGAGAGCACGTAAATATCACAGACCCCAAAAAGAAAGATTTTAATCATCCACTAGTCTAACATGATAAAGCCTCATTTCTGCAGTTTGGAAAAGCAGCAGGATACATTATCTATTACTCAACATCAATAAATCAACCTAAGTTGGAACAACAAAATTTATCCTGATCGGCTAACTCTCAAATTTCGGTGCTTCAAGTTACTCTACTCAACTTAACTTGATAAAACACTAAAACCCAATAACCACAGGTTAAATTTTCCAAACCATATTACACCCCTATAGTTTGGAACCTCGACAAAATCAATGAAGACCACAAAAAACATAACCAGTTTAGGTTAACCGCTAGTTTGTACCAATTTATTGGCAGACTTAAATATTTTCCTGCAACCAAACCTTTCCTCTCCAATAACAATAGGTCATAAACTCAAGTTCTTGTCTTTATATCAAATTTTCGTGATTTCCTAATGTCGAAATCTACTTATAAAGTCGAAAAAATAAATAATTCCTCATCTTCAACACAATCCATTCCCACATGCTAGATCCATGTACACATATTCTCCTCACCAAGTTTACTTGTCCACATCAAACATTAACACAAGATTCATAGGAAGTGTTGACTCCACCATGAACAGTACGGAGGAGTCAACCTAAGATCTTGAGCGGAATCGCAGAAACTAGTCACTTTTGAAGCAGTTCAAATATCAATTATACAATAATTTCAAAGAGATTTTCACACAACAAATCAACAAACAAACACGCACACAAAGGCACCAACAGATCCACACAGAACGTTCGATCTCATGAAAAAAAAAAAAA